CCCCCCCCCCCCCCTGTCCTTATTGTATAACGAACAACCGCCACCAATGACTACGGAACACAGGCCTTGGAAGGCCTCGAGGAGGACACGGGCCCTTCCTACGTTGCGCAGCCGGCGAGCCTTCCCCAGGAGCCGTCGCTCGTGCCGGAGTCGACCGGGCCCACGGGGGTCGACGAGTTCGGGTTGCCCGTCAATCCCACCCCGGCGAGGCCGGCACAGGAGGTCCGGTTGTGACCCTGCTCGACCTTCGCTTGCCACCGCCGCAGCTGCCTGTATCAAGTTGTTGTGGGGCCATCCATGTCGGTTCGTGTATGGGTGGGTGGGTAGTCTTGGAGTTTCAGATGTGGGTCGATGGTTCGTTGCGTGTTCCCGTGTTGGGTTTGGCTGATACGTTGAGCTTCAGCAACAGTAGTCAAAGGGGCAGTGTTGTATCTATCCTGCGTTGTTATGACGGTTGTGCTTTGCGGGGGGGGGCGCATGTCAAGGGCCGGTCGGCGTTTCGGAAACCCAAAGTTTCCGTTGGTGCGCACGCCGCGGTGGAGTTGGAAGAGACTGGAGGCCAGCTGGACAAGGCAGTACCGGTTGCGGGAACAATTGTCTTGCTGCATTTTATTATTTCTGGCATGAGGGGAGCCTACGTCGACATAAGTCAGATACATCCCCTGCTTTTATATAGGGGGGGTTGGTCGCGGACGGGAGCGGGGGCGGTCGCGGTCATCATCGGCTTGCTGTACGAAATTTTACCTGTCCCATTTTTTTTTGTATATATCGGATAGTGAAGGGAGGGAGGGTTGGTCGTTTCGCAAGCAGAATCTACTTCGCTCTCTCTGCCCTGCTGTTCTTGCTCCTGTACATGTGCGCTGCAAATGCAAACATACCCACGGCATCGATCTTTTCCGAAGCTGAGGATTACTGATAACGGTTTCCTTCCTTGTGGTTTGCACAACGAGTGGGAGCAAGTATCAATCTTCATTTGCATCATATTGAAAGTCTTATCGTGCCGGCCCGTGCGGGCGGGATGGTGGTGCCGTTGGTGACGGTTGTCCAAGCTGTCATCCTTCTATTTTTTGCCTGCTTTTCGTAACATGTAAACATGAAGTGAGGTGGAAGTCTGGACTAATTGTTTGTTCTTATCTGTCCAGTTGAGGAAAGCAGGACAGACTCGAAGCTAGATATTGGTGCCAATCAAACCACCTCTTGGCTCGGTCTGTGAGCGACTTGACGTAGAGACCAAAAGGCCAGCACAACAGGCAAAGTGTGGCGGAAGCCTCTCACGTCGAAGTATTAAGTAGTCGCTTCGTCAAGGGTTTTTCGTGGACGCTACTTATTAATAGTTCACGCACATGTACCTTATATTCAGGGCTTTCGCATGTTTTCTCAAGCTCTGACCACATGTCAGCCCATTCTACACGGTGCTGCTGTCTGAATGCCTATTGCACTTGGCGCGTGTTATTGTATGCTCGAGCGCTCTCTCCGATTGTCAATCGCCTTACTCGACACTTGGCCTTGTTTTTCAAGATAACTATATCGTGCACGGGTTTCGTCAGGTTCCTTCGTCAGACCGTTAAGTCCAGTGAGATTGTTGCGTTTCTCGCCATTTTTGTTTCAAAGAAAAAACCTCGAAAGCACTGCGACGCACGTGGCTGGTGCTAGCCAGGTTAGTAGGATGTGGATGACGAGCAGCGGACCCAGCAACGCATGTTGCGAGATGCACAGAGTTATGACCCCCCCACCCTCCCACCCCATATTTTTGAACCCCACGCGCCCCAGTTAAGATCACCACGGGGCCCCTCACCAAAAAATCAAAATTCAAATCCGACCTCGGCGCGCGCGCTCCCCCTGTCTCTCCCTGCCACGCACAGTACAGCGTAGACGTACTCTTTCTCTCTGCCGTGTCTAGAAAAGCGTCATTCCTGCTTTACCACCGAGGAACCTCTTCTTCCGCCTGGCGCACATTTAAGTCCGGTGGTGCCAAAGCAAACGGGTGTGCGAGATTAGACAGCAAGCAGCCAACATGGCGGCGGTGACTGAGTCGGAGGTAGCGAGGTCGTTCTCCAAGATTGGGGAGGACCCTGCCGACAAGGACTTCGTTGGGAAATGTGAGAGTGCGAGAGAGCGAGAGCCTGGTGCATGTGGTAAAGAAATAGAGAAGAGTTGGCGTGTGTGTTCGAAGTTGACAGGATACGGAGCATCGATCCCAATGCCCCCTGGAGCGACCCGGAATGGCTTGTCTCGATCCGCAACGGCCGATCTGGCCTTGGGCATGTCAACGTTGTTCGGTGTATGTCTGTCTCTCAGGAAGGGGGGGTATTCGGTGTTGGTCCCGACTAAGCCCCGCCAGGTCAGGCTAGGAGAACAGCGCATTCATCTTTCACGGTGGTATCGCGTGACAGGACGGCGTCGTTTCTGCTTTACAACCATGGTTCAAACACGCCGCATCTCTAATTTGAAAAATTGCGCAAGACAGGGCCGGTATGTTCACTTGTGCATAGACTTTGTACAACACGATGAATCACTGTCCGTATTTAAGTACGGCCGTGTGTAGCAGCAAGGCCTGTACGCACCACAGAGCGGAACAGGCGGTGTCGCAACAGCAGCACTGCGTTTTGCAAGCAACCTATCGTCATCCCTCCACGACGCGTGCCGGGCTGTAGTTACGGCATTCATTTGCTGCTGCTCACAAGGTATGTTTCCGCCGTGTTTTTCTTTTTGCCCCCGCCCACCACCCCCGCGTCCCCCCCACACTCACCGGCGCTGTAGGCGTTTCTCTGTGCCAACGGTTCTCCCTGTCGGCCGGCGACCTTGCCGACCACTGGGAGTCCTTCGCCGTCAACCACGACGGCAGCAGGCTGGGGATGTCCTCCTGGGCAGGCTTCGAAACCGAGGTCGCAAAGAGCAAGGTGGCGGCGTCGACACCTACTTCCTCCGCCGGTACCGCGAGCAGGCCGTCTGCTGCTTCTCGGAGCAGCAGCCGACCTTCTAGCGCGTCGATCGTGACGCCGCGCCCGGCTGGCCGAAGGTATGGGTATGCGTGCATGCTACTGCAGGGGGCGGGAGACGGGCTCCGCGCCCGGTGTGTGTGAGTTTGCGCCAAATCTGTTCAAATCGTGGTGGAGGTGTGTGACGAGGGGGGGTGGAAGCTGGAACGGCGATCATTTGCTTCCAACAGCGGTACGTAGCTTGGTTGTATCGAGACGAAAGTGATGCCAAAGGTGACTGGTGGCACTCTCACCGCTGCACCCCGGCGAAAGGCGCAGCTCAAGATTTCGTTCGTGCGTCGTGTGTTGGGTTTGCCCAAATTGCCACCCCACAGCGTACGCGCGAAGGCAACTGCCACTGCTGTGTAGTGCCAACGACCGCAAGTCATAGCTTCGACAAAGTACGCCGACATGGCATCATTGTTGGGACACAACAGGCACTCTCAACAGGCGGAACGCCCTGGCGGTGATTGCTGGCGCCGCCAGGGCAGTCGCAACGTGATACATATTCGCTTCGAAGGTTGAGGTATACCGTCGGTGGTTTTGCCGTGGTGCCCATACACGGGAGTTCGTGCAGGGCTCCCTAGGGAGCAACAAATGATTCGTATTCCAGAGAAACAGATGTTTCGCATGATACATAGAGCTTGCAGAAGCAGGGTCCTTTGGCGGGGTAACAGTCCAGGAAGAACGTTTCTCGTGGCACGGCGGGAGCACCTGTGTGCCAGAGTCGTGCACCTGCGTGCCAGGGGTCGTTTGGCCGCTCCTCACGCGCCACCGTTCTGTGCGGCACGCCCGCCTTCCTCCCCTTCGCCTCCGCTAG